GCAACGATGACGCAGAATGCGAGACTTTTAAAACCGGTCGAATGAGAGTAGGGAACACGAGAACATGGTGCAGAGGATCGGTGAAACGAGTCGGCGGAGAAAAGCGACGTTCCCACTGCAACAGGACACCGACGAGCACACCGTGTGTCGCGCATTTTGCACGGATGCGTGTGCAGCGACTAAGGATGGGATCAAGTTCGATACGTATCTACTAAATCCGATTCAATTCGTGTTTCGTTCCACGAATACTACTCGAAAGCAACAAGATTTCAATAACTCGAAATATATTTATTCTTCTCTCTTTCTATCAAAGAGATGATTATACCTCGACGTTAAAAAGAATCGAATTGTTGTTCGCATAGTACGAACAAAGTAAAAGTTTCGAATCCGATTAAAGTTCAAATCTATTCGCGAGATACTTGATCCCATCACTAGGTACGACACGGCTTCAGCCGCGATGTATCGGATGAAACGCGACACGCCCATGGAATGGAATAAAGAATAACGTGGATGAAAAAGCAATGGAAATGAATGGAAATCGTTTTCATTCATCGACCGCGCGAGCGCGTGCGTGCGATCGGTAAGACGGGCACGTATATACAATGTTTATGTGCAGAGCGATAAGTTCGTGCTTTAACGTTTCGAAGAAGTCCTATTGCGATGGGGATTTAGTTAATGAGAATTTGCAAAAAACGTCTGGATGGTTTAGAAATTAAAGATATAAAAGATAGAAATGTAGCGAGAAAGATTCGAAAAGTTCTTAAAAACTTGAAAATCTTGAAAGTTGTAGAGTAAATAAAAAATTTTCAAATTATCGATTTAAATTAAATTTCCTTCCAAGTCGCATATTTGAAAATTATTATCAATTACGCGCTAGAAGCATTACCACCAAGCTCCAATTCTCATTTAACATTCAACGAAGAGAATGATTTACCTTAAACTCGTGCTATCAACCCGCGAGTATCATAAATCATACCGCATTCTCCTCGCCGCACGCGGCAATTCCTACATCCATTAAAACGATGTCACCGCTCGACAATTCCTTCTACGACTTCCTCGATTGCCGGTGGAACGCGACACAGATCCTATCGACGTGTATCAACCGGAATATCTCTTCATTATCAACGTCCTGTGCTCTCCATGATCTTGACGAACAAAGTAAGAGACTTGTCCCGGCCGGGTTCGAAGATCAACGCGGATTCTTTGTGTCCCTCGCAAAGCAAGAACGAGCACGATCTTCTTTTTGCCTTTCCAGACAAGAAGGAACGAGAATGGTCGCGCGAAACACCCACGCGAGACACCACAAGTCATCACGAGAATGATCATTATTATCTTGAGTGATCATCAGCCTGTACGAGTGGCCCTCCCTAGAAAATTGACAGCAATTAGACGACGGAAAGAGAACAAGGGAAAGCGGGGGGAAAAAAATTGACAAATCGAAAAAAAACGACGGTGACTGGAAGGGTCGATGCCCGATACGTGGTAGAATAGTCGAGTCTGACTTGTTAACGGATTTAATGACCAGCCTCAATGCCTTTCGTAAATAAATCACCTGCGTTCACTTCGACGAGACATTGAATATCACTAACATGAGGTTATAAAGGTATATCAATGCGTAACGACGCTTCGTTTTCTACATCGATGTGTATATATAGTGATGGAAATAAATAACTCGCGAGTATTTCGAAATTTATCCGATTAGATCAAATCTTTTATAAGTATTTTGGGGGGAAAAAAAAGTATTTTTAAATGTTAATATTTGAAAAAAATATATATATGAGGGGAATTTTATAGAAAAAAAAACATGAATAATATTATTTTTAAATTAGAAAATTTTTGGAATAGGGATTATGTATCAAGCATAAATAATGACTTTGATTATTGAAATTCCCTAAGCTTCGCATTCAATTTTGTCTAATTCTTAAAAATTGTAATATTTTATTAAAAGTTCTTATAAAAAATTAAATTACAATACAAAAAAAAATTTTCAAAAATAAAATAAAATTTATCATATGACCATTGGAACTTTACGCAACTTTGCAAAATTGAATACGTAAAAAGTGGAAAACACATGCACACATCAGAGTGTGGTACCACGAGACTGTTATTCACGAATGTTCGATATGATATTCAGTGAAATCCGGTCACATGAATGTACAGTATAGAGTCTTGTTTAAAAACGAGTTCTACCTACACGACAAAGTGAACCGTGTCACAATCGCCTTGCCTTTAATGTCTCTTTGTACAATATATATATATATATATATATTTGAAATTGTATTATAATATAATCATAAAATAAAAAAACATAATTATATAATTTTATATATATATATAGTGATATAAGATTGCTATTTACGAATCATTTAAAAATTATATATATATAATAAATAGCAATCTTATATCACTTACTTAATATAATTATATATATTCCAAACATGAAAATAAAGAATTTCTCAAAATATCATATATGATTAGTTAAGCTTTAAATGATTCAACGTTATCAAACGTTATCAACGTTATCATGTTTTTATATAAATATATATTAAATATATATTTTTGTATTGAATTATTTATAGATTGTGAAATGATTTACATTCATTAAAACACGATTAAAACTGTCATATATGTATTATATATATTACATTTCTCTCTTCTCTCATTATTTTCTTTTTCTTTGTACAAAATTGCGAAATAAAATTATATCTTTCGTATTCTTAGATCTTATGGAATTTGAAATTTCAAACTTATAGAATAGTATGACTCTGTAAACTTATAAATATGATATGAGGAAGAGACAGAAGTACGTCTGTTCAGTAACTCGCTCTCGTTACACTGGCATTAACCTTTGTACTGTTTCATATCTGAAAATGGTGCGAACATTCTTATTCCATATAAATATCTCGCAAAAATAGAAACTAAACTATAGGCTTCGAAATTCCTAAATTCTAAAATCATAAATCGTTATTCGATTGATATCGAAATTTATCGATTAAGAAATCAAAAATGATAATATTATTAGATACCAATAAAGAATTTCTTCTTCGAAATTTTATAATTTTTATATAATTTAAATATATGACAAAGAACATTTTATTATATAATTATTATGTAATTTATATAATTTATTATATAATATATGTATCTTAGATTTGATTCAGCGTTATTAAATTATAATAGCACATTAATACAATACGAAAAAGTTAATAACAGCTATTTGTCCTATTCGGAATATTCTGAACATATGTCGATTGAAATCGCAAGGGAAGGTATTTGTATCACGGAACATAAAATACGACAGATGCTCCAAATAATAGTTTTGATGAACCGTTGAACCATCACAAAGATATAATTATAAAAATAAACGAAAAAAAATTTCACAAAAAGCATTCAATCGGTAAAACAGAGAGCACATGCGAGAAAAGCAACAGGCGGGACACAGAACGCGCCAGCCGTTGAATTCGCGCTTGATTCTATCACATCAATTTGTGATAACGACTCTATCGCATTTATGAAAATATAATTTCGATTATTCGATAGAAAAAAAGTCATCAAAAGTCTTGACGCTTGATCGAACAAACTTGAAAAAAAAGATTTTTCGAGATTAAATATAAATTGTCAAAACGTAAATGAAAAAAAGGGTTGCATGTTGAAACATAATTAATGAAAAACACGGAAAAAAGATCACCAAAAGAAAAATACTTGTGGCACAAACCTGGTTTTGAAACGCTGCGTATCGTCTTGGCCAGCCCACATTTTTCTTTAATTGCGGATAAAAAAGACTTCTTTTATACTTTCCAACTTGAAAATTACACAATAACGCGTTTCGATGTCACGACGCGACAATTCGTGCCGGTTATGCACGTATAAGCAAGTCTACGACGTGGGTCAATCAGGCTGGATCACGCCGCGGCTCGAGTTCCTCTTCCGTTTCTTTCTTCGTCGCACACACGCACTACCGAATACGAAAGAGAAAGATCACAGATAGAAAAGCGGAGGGAAACTAACGCACGCTACACGAGGAGGCGCCACCTCCAAAAAGTCGAGAAGCAGGAAAGGAAGCGTGCCGTGTTCTGTACAATCGTGAAATCCACTGACGGTAGAGAGATCGACGGCGTCGCAAGCGCAAACTTGCGTAGGGAGAAATGATCCTCGTGCACGTGTGCACAAGGCTTTAAGCCGGTTTATCCAACGCCTGCGAAATACTATGTGGACTCGAGGGATGTGTCCTTAAGCACAGTCACGGACACGATCTATAGAGACAATTCCTTTTGGTTACTTCTTCGGTCTAGCCAGCAACAGAGGTTATATTTATCCTTTGAATCGTACTCTTTTCGGATTTTCTTAGACATGAGAATATCTTGCGTTTGACCATAAATGGAAACCATTTGTTTGTCATTATACATTTAAAATTAAAATGATTCTCTAATAAATTTTAATTATTCGTTAAAACAGCAGATTTCTAAATTTGAAATTATAAAAGAATATTAAATAATAAAACAGCAAAAATTTTTTCGATACTACTTCTATTCTATAAAATAAAAATTAAAAAAATAATAAAATTCAATAATCAAACTGAAAATCTCTAATAATTATACAATTCTTTTTTTCTTTCTGCATACTATATTATCTGTTCATAGCAAAAATACATGCAAAAACGAATATTGCAAGAATACGAAAAAGAAACGAACAGAAATAGACAGAATAAAGAATAGGTACAATATCCATGCAATTATAAAGCTTCGAATCTAAATGTACACGCCTCTATGCAACACGCTAAGAACTGTACAATGCCGGATGAGTCACAACATGACTCGTGTTTCAGAACTATGTATATTATTCGTATACATTTCAAGAAATTATTTACAAAAAAAGAAAGATATCATTCACGTGTGATTTTCTCTCATACAATTATATTTAAAAAATTTTTTTTTTAATATTCATTTTTTCCAAATATATAAAGAAACAAGTAAAGTTTTTGTTATTTTCTGTTATCATTACGGAATTTTATCTCTAATTTTTTTAATTTTAATCTATATATGTTTCATATATATATTTCATATATATATGTTTCATAATTTATTGAAATTTTTACGGATTTATATTAAAACCAGTTGTGTATCGTCAGACATATAAAATACTTGTTCAAAAATATTTATCTTTATATCTTATGTACATTTTTTCATTTTATCGATAAATCAAATACTCTTTTATTAGAAACATACATTGCAATGTTTCGCCGCTATCTGTGGTAAACCACTAACTTTTTTTTTTAAAATATCAGAAATATGATATTGCTAAGGCAAAATCACTCACCAACATTTTACAAAATAAGAAAAGATTACATAAACTATACTACTTTCACAATTATAATATTTGTATTTTATATTATACACAAATAAAATTGACACAAATAAAATTAATATCATAATATAATAAAAATCCTTATTCTATAAAATAAATTTAATCATACTTAGTTATTAAAATCAATAAAAATAATTTTAAAAATTATTGTTATGATATTATCAATTATTTATCAATATTATTATTGATAAGATATCATCATTGCATTTAAAAAAAATTTATATAAATTTATATAAATTTTTTCAAATATTTATTATAAATATATACTAATTTAAAATATTTTTCAAAAAAAAAATTCTACTAAATATTGCAATCGAATTTTTGAAATTTATAACAGGAACAATACAGCGAGCGCTATCTATTGACATTTCTTTGCACTTATATTTTATTTAAGATATTACCGACTCATGATCCTCAAATGCAACAGTTAAATCTTACATATTGTAATAAATTTATACATAATTAATTGAATTTTTGCGAAAATAATTTATTAGAATTGATAATATTATTTTTTCAAAAAAATTGAAATGAAAAAAATTATATATTTTATTTATTTTCAAAGTTATATAAGTTTAATATAATATTTAAAAAAATTAAAAAATTGTAATTTTTAATAATATTATAGAAAATTTATAAATATTTGATTTAAAGTTAATATTAAATTTAACAAATATATGTAATTGTAAATGACATTCATTATAGAATTTTTATTTATATGTTTCATTTACATAAATACATAATTTATTAAACTTTTTCAAAATATACATTAATTTATATTTAAATTGCAAATAAATGTTTCTAATTTTCGTAATTTTCAATTTATCAAAACTTTACCAATACGAAAAAAGATTCATGGATTGTCCGGTTATGACCGGTTCAAACTGACGCACCATGCATAACAAAAAATCAGTAACCAACAAGACGCCATTAATTTATATTTATTATTATTGAATTAAATAAATAAATATTTTTATTTTATATAAAAACATAATCCTTAAAAATAATAGAATAAAAAACCTATCAAATAATAAAATTTAAACTGTTAAAAGACCAAATTTTTTAATAATTGTTTTTAGAGATTAATAATAATATAATTAATAATGTCAAAAATATATTTTTAATGTAAAAATTTTAATCTTTTACAGGTTAAAATAAATAAACGATACACTACTGGCAGAAGGAAAATACGATTCCTTAATATAATATTTGTATAAATAAATCGTAAATATAAGTTTGTCACTTACTTGCTAGATTTCTTCTTCTCATCGCTAAATCCTTGGAAGGTTCCTGTGGATGTCATCTTCTAAAATTTGAATACAAGGAAACGAATACTTTTAGAACAACCGTCGCGCAGTTTTTGCGGCACGCGAGAACACAAACACGACTCTTTCTTCTACTTACCGAACGAAATCAAATAGGGTTGTGATACGGGATTGGTAGGTCGTACTACAAATTTTGACGTCAGAATAACTAGTCAAATCAGTGTTTAAATTACAAATTCTTTATCAAGAAAAAACAAATTATGATTGAATACTTTTTTAACATATAAAAAAGTTTTGTAAATTATTTTTTGTAATGAATGTAATTAAAAATTGTTAATATGATATGAAATAATCATAATTTTAATAATGATTTATGTCACTTTATTACCAAACTTTATAACTGTTATTCATCATCTAAAATACATATGAAAAATTAATATATATATATATAATTTTGTAGATGTATATATATATATATATAATCTTTGATTTTATAAATCTTTAATTATATTATAACTATGTACTTTATAAAGATTTTTAATATTCCATGCTTGCCAATTATTTATAGTAAATTATTACTTATGTATAATTGTATTTTATACTACATCGTATGTGATTTTGTTTATTGAAATATCAAATAATGAATATTTATAAAAATTTTTTAATTAAAATAACATCATTTATGATAAATTTATGTCTTGTTTCAAAAGATAAAGATGTAGAATTTTCTTAGAAACCAGCAGCCATGTTTGTTCCTTGTCATAAATACAGATGGAGTATCTAAAAAAGTCTTATAAAAGTTTAATTATATTCCGTATGATTTGATTGATCTTGATTGGTGTAATTATAAATGAAGTGATAATACATATCTGTATAAATGGTGCGACAAGTTCGAAAATCTAATACAGTGACATTCAAGAGTTTGTCATTAAATGGATCATTTTTATTTTTTAACCGTCGAAGGAAATTTATAAAAGAAGGAAAATGTTAAATCAAGCTGTAGTCGAAGCTTTATATTCTGCAACATATATTGAAAATTATTTAGATTGTGTGGAAAACTTACCAAATGATTTACAAAGACATGTTTCCCGGCTTCGAGAACTTGATGCCACTTGTCAAAGTAATTAAAATTAAGTTTAAAAAGTTTCTATAATATATTATTGATACGTTTTCATTACAAATAATTTTTTTGAATTGAAAAATTCATAAATGCTTTTATAAAATATAATATATATGCATTAAAAAAATAGATATAATAAAGAACTCAATAATTTTAAAAAATTGCATTTCTTTATAAAATATTAACTTAAATATAAACCTATTATTTTTTATCTTATTATATTGTAAAGAAGTGAAAAAAATTTAATTTTTGTTTTTCATTTTATTTAAATTTTTATAAAAACAAATTATTTTATATATATATTTTATTTATTTTTATAATTTAATTTAGCATATTTACGGGAAGTAGATCAACAGCAAGAAGCATTGCGAAATGATACAGATTTGACAGTTAAAAGAAGAGCACTTTTAAGACTTCAACAAGCCTTGATTGCAGCACAAGAAATAGGAGATGAAAAATTGCAAATAGTTCAACAAGTTCAAGATCTTATTGAAAATAAATCCAGACAATTAGACTTAGATTATCGTAATCTTGGTATAGCTTTTCTTTTATTAATTTTGCATATTTTATAAAAATAAACAATTATCAATATTTTCTATATTTTAACTTTTTATAGATTTTGGAAAAGAACAAGAAAATAATGAATCAATCCGTGAAACAAATGCAAATGTGACTTCTAATTCTTCTGGCAATGCAAATAATTCAGAAAGACAACCAAAAAGAGCTAGAAGAACAAGAACAGAGACAATGGTTGAGTCTTCCAACACTATGGATATGATTGTAATGGCAGAAACACGTTCAAATTCTTTATCAAATACAAATAATGGTAATCAAAAGAAAACAACTACTACTAATACTGGCAAGAAAAAGAAAAGGAAATCTAGACAAGGTAATCAGCAAAATCAACATCGTGAAGATACTCCACCACCACCAGAGGATGATCTTGCAATAGATCCAGATGAACCAACATATTGTCTCTGTGATCAAATATCATATGGAGAAATGATATTGTGTGATAATGACTTATGTCCTATAGAATGGTTTCATTTTTCATGTGTTTCATTAAGTACCAAACCAAAAGGCAAATGGTTTTGTCCAAAATGTAGAGGAGACAGACCAAATGTTATGAAACCTAAAGCTCAGTTCTTAAAAGAATTAGAAAGGTATAACAAAGAAAAAGAAGAAAAATCGTAGCAGGAGAAAATTGGTGAGCAATTTAAATATTTTGGAAAATTTAATTCAATTTAAAGACAGCTTCTATGATATATTTTATTAAATACTTTCTGAAATCTTATTAAGCAGATTGATTTATGATTTGTGAATTAATAAAAAAATAATAGTTTCATAAAAAAACATGAAATTATTCTATTATTAAATATATAATTGTATAGATATGCGTGTGAACTATCATATAATCAACTACAGTAGCAGATAAATTATATTTGTATAATATTGGCTATTGTAAATATTGTGACAAAACTAAATAATTATAGTAAAATAGATACTTTATAAAAAAAAATATATTTTAAAATTGCTTTATATTTGTTCAACATTGAAAAATTAATGGGCCTCTATACTCTTGAGCAATAATATGTGTGTAAATACCATTTATCTATGGTAATTATCTAAAATATAGTATATTTCATATTTAAATTACAATAGCAGTATTAAAAGAAAAAAAAAAAGGAATTTTTGTAACATAAATTAATTGTGTCATGAATAAAATGACTTAAGATCAACATCTTTTTTAATTAGTTTGTATTATAGTATATAAAATCTTACTAGTGATTGTCATCAATTCATTATGTATTAAGTTTCATTTATAAAATTCTGTTGCATTATTTGCAAAATGTATATTTATATAAGTATAGATTCTTACGATTGCATAAAGTTTATAAAATTACATGCATAAACGAAAATTATACATAGAATCTCTAAAAAGAAATTATATGTATAACTTTGTTTATTGATGAGAATTTATTTTGTACATATGAACATTGTATTTTTAGGATATAAATTCTCTTTAATATATAATGTACAATATATTTAATAAGATATAATTTTTTATAGTTGAGCAAAAACTCTAACATATAGCAAAGCATATCGTTTTTTAAAAACAATTTAAATGCTTTGCACAACTATAAAAGAAATTTTTTATTAAACATGTTTATAAAAAACGATTTTAATGTTTTTATTAAATTCAGTAATTTTTATTATGAGAACTGTCTTGGTTTTTGTTACCTTTCCCCATCTACTGTTTATAAA